CTCGCAGATGTCGCGCGCGCGCTGCTGCTCGTCACCTCGGTCCGAAGAAGGGAGCCGTCGAAGAAGCCTCGGCGGCCAACAACGTCAGGGCTGAGTTCATCAGCTGCGGTACCACGACCTGTTCGTTGGGTCCACCCAGAGGGCAAGTCGGCCATGCTAAATCCCCTGGTGGCCTTGCCTGCGGAGGCGGGCCGTAGATGGGCCCTGGCGGCTCGGGTACGGCCGCCCGCAGGGGCAGCAGGACTACCCGGCTAGGAGCCGGACCAGGAGGCAGGAGCTCCTATGATCTTGGCTGCGACCGACGGGGCGAGGCATGGATGCCACGCTCCCGATAAAGAGAGCCCACGACTCCCGGGCCAGGAGCCCGACCATGCTCTCGCCAGTGTACCCGGGGCTTATTCAAGGATCCGTCCCCGGGTGAGCCAGGATCCCTCGGAGGGGAAAAACATCGGGTGCCCTGAGGACCAGGGTACGCCAGGACCCGACGGGCCACCGCTCGCTACGGCCGTGGCACCGCTGGCGGCTCGCCGTACGCCGGGCGCGGCACTATTCCCGTTGCCCAGGAACCGCGCACCAAAATCGCACCGCCGTAACCCCCGGCCCTAGGAATCGGGCCGGCGCACGCCGACGCCGCCGGAAATCTAGGCCCCGGAGCAATCTCAACCAATCAGCGGCGTGGAATCGGGATCGGTGAGGCCTGTCGAATCCATATGAGAAACCTTACACCGAGAGCTCCAGCCTTCTCGACCTCTTACCGCCGGACAGGACGAATCGCCTACGGAGCCAAATTATCTTCATATTATCTGGAAGACGAGAGGACTCAGGACTTCGGCGAGAAGCTGCGGCTGAGGAGCGGCGAGTGGCAGCCGCTACTAGCGTTTAGGTGAAATAAAGTAAGTGCCAAGTGCGTTTTCGAGGATACCCGCTGTCGATACGTTTTCTGGGGTCCGGAAACCCTTTTTTCTACGGACTAGGCGGGAATAGTGCCGAGCCGGGGACAGGGAACGATCACTAAGCGAGTTCCTGTCGACCTCGCGGCCGATCTTTCTCATACCCTGGTGGGGCCTATGCCGGGAAAAAGGTTGGGCCTTAGGTTGGTCTTCGGGGAGACCGTAGGGTTCCTCGAAGGCGCGCGAAAGCGTATGTTATGAAAATATAAGTCGTGTTCCTCATTTTTTTGCGGTCATTAGCTTCGATTTATAAATTATCTGGTCGCGAAATTAGTAAGTGTCGCCCGAGGATTTGTGAAGGGTTTGGGCCCTCGGCGACTTAATTTTCTTTAGTTTAGTCAATTTCGAATCCTTAGTCGCGACCAGAGGTGGAGTCTGTAACATTGTCTAATTATCTTTCCTCCCCGGGGTCGGAGGCGGAGAAGCCGCGGGGTGACCGCGTGGTCCCCGGTTTTGTCTATTCTTTTCCTTGGTCGAAGGAAGCCTTTAGTCGGAGCTGAGTAACTTCGATAAATTTAGTTATTTTGCGTAACTTCGAGTCATTCTGCGTCCTTTCGCGTAATTTCGAGTAATTTTGTGTCGCTCCGAGACAGAGGGAAAACCTAAATTAGAATTGTATTTTTGGACTCTAGTGCAAATATCTTCCGTCGAGTGAATATTGTGAGTTGGAGATTGGTCTTTTGATTAATTTGCTAGTTGTAATCTCGTTTAAGTTCCGAAATGAGTCGTCCATGAATGCGAGCGCAAACCTTTCGAATAATGTAACCCTGTGATTTTGCTGATGTGCGGTGTGACCAATATTTTCTAGTGCAGCAAACCCCTTTTGTTTATTTTTATTAATTGTAAGTTTCATGAATCTTCCCCTTTTTATTGTCTCGCGCTAAAGGGTCTTTCCCGGTGGCGGACCGTGAAAGCGGTTATTTTTCTGGGATATCGCCCCCCTTCCGTTGGTAGTTGGTAGTTATCTAATTGATCCACTTTCTAGCGGATTTTCTGCCCCGCTAATTTAATTCTCTCACACATAATTGTCTCGCGCGTATCACTGGCCTAATTTAATTTTCTTTTGGGCGGCCTTCCGCCAAACCCGACTTTCTTGTCAAATTTCTGTTCTCTCGCCTCTTTTTGTTAATCTCATGATTTTCTGTCTTCTTTTTTTTATTTCATTGTTAGAATAAATTTGCAAAGTATTATTACCAAATTCGCCCTTCTTGATCTTTTTGGTAGAGTGGCTGAATTCCCCTGTTTCCCCCGAGCCTATTATCAATTCCCCAAAATTTGTTGAGTTCCCCCATCTGTTTCCCGCGAGCTTATTCCAAATTTCCCCGACTTGAATTGTTTCCCCATTTGTTGAGTTTCTTTCCTTCTTCCCCGCGTCTTGGTCTTATCTTCGCCCTATCCGAACCTTGGCGCGTGCGCGCTCTGAGCTAGTCGGCCGCGCCGCGACGATCGACGAGGCGGAAATCGTTCGAGCCTAGTCTTTCGAGTTTCTGTTGAGATTATCGAGATTGGTTTGAGTTTTCTCTTTTTCTGAGATTGTCACGAGTCGAAAGTTCGTTGTTCTTTTTGGCCTTTGGGGAGGCCTGGCGCCCAACTTCGTGTCTCGTTCCCGAAACCGGGAAAAATAATTTGAAGTGGCTCGAACGGATCCGCCTAGACGATCGGGCGAAGGTGACGAGCGATCATCCGGGCGCTGCAAGGCCAGAATTTCCNTTGCGATGTGTTTACGGAGGACCGTGCCTCGCAGAGTCCAGGGGCGTTTCGCTCCGCATTCTTCTGCAAATTGTCGCATAACATCGCATGCGCTCAAAAATTTGTAACGACTTTTATCATAGCTTGGAAGACCAAATAGATAAGGATTCCCTTTAGGAACTTTGGCTTTATTACGAAATTTCAAAATCATTTGAATGTATTGTAGCATTTGAGAAGCAAGTAGTACAGGAACAGTTCGTCCTAATTTACCTCGGATAGTGAAACGGGTATATTTTGCAGCAATGGCTCGAGCATCAGATGACAGTGTTTTATACAGATCCGTGTGAGTATCAGAAATTTGTTCATACTTTTCAAAATCTGCTATAAGAAGATGTTCGATTTCACCTGCACGTCGTCGATTGAATAACTGTACAAAAGTCAACGTGGCTTTCGTAAGGCTCAACCAACTGCTGTAAGAATATTCTTTTTCCAAATTATTATAAGACTCGGTACATTTAACTTTAAGATAGGTACGCAATGCTGCTATGTCTTCCATGGACGGAAGTTCTACTTTTCTATGACGCCTTTTCTCTTCCTGGGATTCCAATGCAGCTTTATTCACACTAGTAGGAAAATCATCTGTCAGAATTTCGATGAAATTTTTCGTCAATTTTCTCCTTTCTTCGTCTTTTCTACTCAAATATAATGTCTTCAGAAGAGAACCGACATTTTTGAGTAACGTTCCCAATAATGAAGCTGTGGCGGGAGAACCATAACTATTTGTCTCTGGGTCAAATTTCGCGACGATACGAATTGCACGAATACAATCTTCGTAGTACTTTGAATCATATAGAGATGCAAAATCTTTGATTTCAGAATTTATTTCTTTCAGTGCGAACAAAAAATTACCAAGTAGCCTGATTCGTGAACGTATCATTTTGTGCTGATACTGTTTAGTATGTTTTATGCACAATCTATTCGCAAATCTAATGATTAATTCATCGTTCCGTATCAACCGAACTGGCGTGTCTTCGCGTAGAACCGAGAATACTTTTAACATAATTAATGCATAACGTTCATATTTTGTTTGAAAAATACATTATTACAATATAATACAATTACAAAATATTATATTAATTATTATTACAAATTAATCGTCCTCAGAATGTACCTTATTTCAACAGATATTAGGATATCTGCCACACCATATACAAATGCCACTCTATTTACATGGGCATGCAACTTCATGAAAAATAACAATAAAAATTCATATGAAAAAAAGAAAACTGCAATTACACATGAACAAAAAAGAACTGTACCGACCAACAACTCAAACAGCGCCCCGGTGACCAGGAACCTGACGTTATTGCCTACGAGGCTATCAGCTGTTTTTGGAGTTCATATAACCCGTGTCCGTATGAGGTATATACTACATATTTAAACAATTCTGTTTTAAGAAATCCTCACAGGTACGCGCTATCCATTTGGCAAATAGTTTTATACATTAAGGACTACCAAATAATAAAATTTTGCGAAAATCAGAGACGGCCATACCTGATTCTTTACTTGTTAGGTGTTAACGAAAATTATGAGGATTTCAGAACAGATAAGTCCCAGTGAAGATAACTGACGGAAAAAATCAACTCTTTGTTAGATACAGTGTTATATTGATGCTTTGTTTGCACCTCTGTTTCCAGTCTGCAATATCAATTCATCTACGTAGCGATTACTTAATTTCGAATAGTTCTTCCATTACCTTTTCTACTAGTTTTTTCAATAATTAAACAGACTTGCCGCCTTTGTTTTTAGATATCAGTTATGTGGATAGTCGCCTACAATATGTGGCAGGCTATTGTGGTAATGCCTGAAGTATCTAAACATAATAGAGGTTAAATGTACAGATGATTAATGCCAAATATTATAGACGATGGAGCGTTACCAATTCCGGTGCGGCGTGTGTAAAGACATAAAGACAAGATTCTCAATATTTATTTTCATGCCTGTGAGCCGCAGAGCATGTTGGCAAACTGCAATGTCTATACATCGTCAACAATATGCATGCCTGTATATTTTTAAGCGAAGACCATGTTGCTACACCATTAAACATCATTAAGTTGTTTATACGATGACGAATGATCATCATGCCGCGCAGGTCATATATGATATTCCTTGTGTATTGTGTGTAAAATACGTGAGATATGAAATCTGAACATACGTATTCAAAAGCCACACCTTGATGTAAATTCAAGATACGTGTTTATAGAACTTCAACAATGAATGTGGACGATTGGATGCGGAATATTAAATAACATATTGTAATAATTTTCTTTTTCGGATTCTTCAGACATGTATTTTATTCACCTTTCTTAACTGTTTGTACGTACTTCGCATGACTCGAATAATAACAACAGAATTACTTCATACCCTTAATATTTTTCGTAAAAACGCATCTTAGTCCGATTAAGTCTTTCTCTCTCGTCTTAGGAATATTCTTACATCGCAGGCCGCGCTGACGTAATACGAGATTTTTTAACAATATTATATTAATCGCGTTAACCGATTAAACAGCTAAGAGTATATAAAGAAATAAGGGAGATTAGAAGAACTTAAAACTAATCGTGTGTCGCCAGAATCATGCAAATATGAATTCTTTTAATATGAAATTTGAAAGAGGTAAAACATGTTATACGCAATAAAGAACAAAGATTATAGTTAGAAATAAAATATTGAACGCATTAATACACAATAAGTTTTAAGTACTTTGATGTAAAGCAAGTATTATAAAAAAAAAAAAAATACATAGTTGGAAACTGAAAATACATATAAAACAATCTCACATCTACGTCAAGTGGCCTCCCTAATGTTGACGGCCAGCAAAAAAGGTACCCCTTGGGAATTAAAGAATAGAAGTCAACAGTACTTTTTAACGTGAAACTTTCTGGTTATGTGTACCTACATTAAAAAACCATGTAATTATTTCATCAAGTAAATGGTTCTTAAGTTATACGTAATTTACTGAAGTGCCTCGAAGAAATAGCACCTCCATAGTAACTGAAAAAACAGTTGTTGTGGATGTCTGAAACTGAAACTAAGAACATTCTTTACCCATATGAAGGCGATCAGCATTAATACAAGAATGATCGAAAAATACCAAAAAAGATTAAAATGGTGGCATTGTGAAGAATGATTTTATTTCTTGCAACTTCCAAAAAGTAACGGTACTAGATTTTTTCGATACGTTTAGATAATCCCAGTTATGTCGTCCTGAGATAGGTTAAGAAACATTTTAGTTTCTCTGTTTCGAACTTTAACAACCGCTGATACAACGGTTATATTGCAGACTTTTTTGTGTATTCCAAGAAATTATTAATAACCCTGGAACAATTCAATATTCTTAAGTGATGAGAGACTACATGGGTTACAGTATATTTAAATATTCCAAGAAGGTCTCAAGTTAATACGACGCATAGCCTTCCCTGTAATTCCCAAGTATAGCATTAAATTTTGGCTGGCAACACTAAGGAGGCTCTCCTTAATTCAAGAACAGTGTTTCAAAAACTTCAGAAATTAATGTGTACGATTATTGTGCACGGATTACACTATTGTAATGAATAGATGCATGATACTTCAGTCATTTCTCTCACTGAAAATCCTAAACTGTTTGCATAACATAAATATTTTTCACATGTCTTGAGTACCAATAACAAAATTACTTTATACCATTAATATTTTTCGTAAAAACACATCTCAGTACAATTAAGTCTTCCTCCCTCGTCTTAAGAATATTGTTATATCGCCGGCCACGCCGACTTAACAGGACATTATTTAACAATATTATATTCATCGCATTAACCGACTAAACATCCAAGCAGTACAAGGAAATTGATGAGATTAGAAGTTCTCAAAAGAAATCAGATATAAATAATTCTCTTTCAAAATTCAAATCGGAGTTTTGAGTTACCTATCTCATTCACAATCCTTAACTGTTGTGTTACATACATACATTTCGCATAACTCGAGCAACAATAACATAATTAATGCATAACGTTCATATTTTGTTTGGAACACATCTAAATACCATAAAGGTTCTCCTCTCTCGTCTTAGCAATTCTCTTATATCGCAAGCCGCGTCGTGTTAACAGGTGAACAATATAATTTAACAACATTAAAATCGTTGTGACAATTGACTAAGGAGCGAAAGGTATAATAGGAAAGTGATGAGATTATAAATTCTTAAAATACAATGCCATCATCAACACGTAGACAAAAATAATTTTTAAATAATAAATTTGAAAGAAGACGAATAGGCCATTCTTAATAAACTGAGGGATTACAGCTACAAATAAATTATTGTAAGTATTAATGAACGTAGAATAAATTAGCGAGAATGAACGATAAACAAGCAGTATAAAAAGGGAAATGCTTCGTCATGAATAAATGTCACTGTGTAAATTTCTTAATTAATAATTAAATGTTCCAATTACAGTAATCATATACTGCGTAAATATTAACACGTTAAACGGCATGTCAGTCGCCGGTGGCTGACAGTATACTTTTCGTTCGGATCGCGTTAGCCACCGATGGCTGACAGTAGCGCTAAGAGGAAAGGAAAACAATCCAGGCGTGGCGCTTAACGTATTAATAATCAGTTGGCGTTGAGGGCATGCCGCTTTGGAAGGTAACCATTTAGGTGAGCAGAAAAGTCCATGGTGTTAGATATTACTGTACGACATTTGAATCCTTGAACTTCTTTGTTGATTGCTAATCCAGGTTTTAATCTGAGCTGGAGTTCGATTGCTCAAGCATGGATTTTCACGAATATCCGCTTCTAATCTTCTCTTTGAAGGTAATGTGCCATTCTTAAAATGTTTTCCATAAATATCAGTGACTGTTGCTTTTTCCTCTTCCGTCCACCGTGCTCTTTTGATTTTGTTAGGTGAAGCTGTTGCGAACAAAATAAGTAAATAAGAACGGAATTAGTCCTTGGCAAATGTGAAAAAAGTAACGTTCATAATGCCTGTCTGAATGTATTTATATTCTCATTAATTCCGATGAAATATCAAAAGTAAATAATTGCAGTCTCTAATCGAAAAATGCCCCACCTTGTCACGTTGCTTTTTCTAAAATGGTAATACTTTGAAAATTATTAAACGGAAAACTATATTATGGTATTAACTTTGTGTTAACATTTAAAAACAATTTAATTTAATGCTGCTTAAATTTAATGAATATATCGTGAACAGAAATTTGTTCTGAGTTAGATTTGTTACGTTAACACCCCCGCCTATAAAAGTTATCAATTTTCTGGGCGAATTGTATTACAATATATTTAAAAATGAACTATATCTATCCAGGCGTCTCCATAAGAGACTGATGTTTGGCTATACATACTTCACGCTCCTCTCCAAATAATAATGGATAGATGAAAATATCTAGTATATATGATTACTTTAATGATAACTTACAATTCTTCCTTGCTGTCGTCTTGTTAGATACCGCACGTCCCTTGTCAAATGAGGCGTACTCTCTCATTTCCAATTCCATGCTTGATGTTGAGTTGTTATTAGAGACTGTATTTGAAACCTCAAACTGGCTGCTTTTGCAGTGCTCTTCGTCATCGTCTCCGATATCATCGGCACCTTGTGCTGCTTCGAGGAATTTCGACATCTGGAGAATTTCTCTACTCGCTATTGACTGACGGTAATGTTTTCTGTGAATAGTCTCAGCGTGTCCCATGAAATTAGCTAAATCAGAAACCTCGTTGTCGGACAATTCCAAAGAAATGCAAACAGTTGCGATGTGTTTACGGAGGACCGTGCCTCGCAGAGTCCAGGGGCGTTTCGCTCCGCATTCTTCTGCAAATTGTCGCATAACATCGCATGCGCTCAAAAATTTGTAACGACTTTTATCATAGCTTGGAAGACCAAATAGATAAGGATTCCCTTTAGGAACTTTGGCTTTATTACGAAATTTCAAAATCATTTGAATGTATTGTAGCATTTGAGAAGCAAGTAGTACAGGAACAGTTCGTCCTAATTTACCTCGGATAGTGAAACGGGTATATTTTGCAGCAATGGCTCGAGCATCAGATGACAGTGTTTTATACAGATCCGTGTGAGTATCAGAAATTTGTTCATACTTTTCAAAATCTGCTATAAGAAGATGTTCGATTTCACCTGCACGTCGTCGATTGAATAACTGTACAAAAGTCAACGTGGCTTTCGTAAGGCTCAACCAACTGCTGTAAGAATATTCTTTTTCCAAATTATTATAAGACTCGGTACATTTAACTTTAAGATAGGTACGCAATGCTGCTATGTCTTCCATGGACGGAAGTTCTACTTTTCTATGACGCCTTTTCTCTTCCTGGGATTCCAATGCAGCTTTATTCACACTAGTAGGAAAATCATCTGTCAGAATTTCGATGAAATTTTTCGTCAATTTTCTCCTTTCTTCGTCTTTTCTACTCAAATATAATGTCTTCAGAAGAGAACCGACATTTTTGAGTAACGTTCCTAATAATGAAGCTGTGGCGGGAGAACCATAACTATTTGTTTCTGGGTCAAATTTCGCGACGATACGAATTGCACGAATACAATCTTCGTAGTACTTTGAGTCATATAGAGATGCAAAATCTTTGATTTCAGAATTTATTTCTTTCAGTGCGAACAAAAAATTACCAAGTAGCCTGATTCGTGAACGTATCATTTTGTGCTGATACTGTTTAGTATGTTTTATGCACAATCTATTCGCAAATCTAATGATTAATTCATCGTTCCGTATCAACCGAACTGGCGTGTCTTCGCGTAGAACCGAGAATACTTTTATCAAAATTGGATCTGCCACTCGATGAATTCTAGCAGACAATCTTCTCCCCAAAGCTACAATCCCTCTGCTACCCTTACAATTTGATCCAATACAGCGCCTGGTATGACGACTTAAACTACCTTTGGATAGAAACAGTTTACATTTTGGACAAGGAACATATTGCGTGCCGTTTGTGTTACGCTTTGGGTTAGGCCTCCTGCTAACAATGAGTTTCTTGTCTGGATTTATTTCCTTATTATGATTAAATTCGAAGTCACCCTTGTGTCTCAGAACATCGATAAGTTGTAAGCGTTCAGGATTACCTTTTGGGAATACGTGAAACTCTTTCACGGCAGGCTCATCGCGATGTACGGTTTCTAAGTGGCGGACGAGTTTTGACTGAAGTTTATGACAGAAAAAACAACAATGTTTTTTGCCGGAACCAACGGGTCCGCGAGATGGATCAACAATCATTTCAGCATCATCAATGAAGGAAGTTATTCGTTTGCTTTCCGAATCAGATATACTCAGATTATTTGTGGAATTACTTGAGCCACTAAGATTTGACGCCTCCATGTTGCTTTCGAAATTATCATTACCTGTCTTATCTTCCGAACATGCGCTGTGCTGTGACGGAGTATATATAGAGCCACTAATATCTCTACCCGTTAACGAAGCGGTTCGTTCGACTAAACTATGTTCTAAAGATGCATTATTTGCAATACTTTGGCAATCATCATTGAGACGCATTATATTTTGGACCATTTTGTCAGAAGCATCGAAATCTTCATTCTCATCGTCATGATCATCATCAATGGAATCGACATCCGATGGAACGTATTCCGGGTCGCTGAGGTTTTCATTACTTACATTGTTGTCATCCAATATGACGTTTGTTGATATTCCAGCACTGCCCGTGAAATGCAACNTATATATATGTATGCGCATCTGTTAGTTCCAAGACCGTTTTTAGTATGTATCTGTCACTTCCGCGTCTTTTGGCACTTTTGAGGACTGTCCTGGAGATTTATTATACCGAAGTGGTATTTCCAAGACGTCCTGGAAATGTTTGCCGTATATTCAGCTGCAAATTCCAGGACAGTACTTGAAATGCGATGCACATGCTTTGTATATACATATCATATGTATACTTTTTTTAGAAGTCCTGGAAATTCCATGTATGTACCTGTTCTCTTCCAGGACGTCACAGAATAATTTCAGGTGTTTTGGTAGACGTATTTAAGGAGAAGTGAAATTCACCTCAAACCAGTCAATTCGAATAAGGCACTTTTCCTTTAAGGGTATTCCACCGAACTGGTTAAAATTTTACCACACAATTTGTAAGCGCTACAAATATGGATGGTGGTAACCTCATATAAAATATTACTGTCGAACTATAAGAAGGAACGGGCGACAACAATTGAAGAGACAGAACAGAAACAGAATATGAGAGAATATAAAATAGTGATTGAGATTTGGTCACATTTCATTGAAACTCAACGCCGCATATGTCAAATCTGACTACTGCCACATTAGTTAGAGGCGAACACAACAACCATTTTTTGTTCATTAATTTGTACTGATTTTCATTTCACGACCTAGTCAAAAGTCGACGCCTGTTAAGTTGTGAACTACTTAATCTGCCCTTCATCAGTGAAAGGTCTCTGCAACTTGCTACAGCGATGAGCTGAAAAATTGCTCACAGCTAGGATCATGAATTTATGAAGAGGCGGATGGTATATAATGTGAAATGTAGCTGGAGACGTAAGGGGAGGGAAGTGCACCGGCCGTCTTACCCAGCTAGTGAAAACGTGTTTTAAAAAGAAATACAACACAATTTAACTACATTTACATCTATATTTTTAGCACGCGCTTTCTCATACTTTAATTCTGTAAGGACCAAAGGCATGTACATGTGCCGTCACATTATTACCTCACACGTTGCACACAATAATTGCGGTTCTCATAGGTTTAAAAAAGACATCATATACACTCTTTGGCTACCGCTTTTGACGAATTCAAGATTGCGTACGTGTGTATAGTTGAGTAAGATGGTCGATGCAGTCCCTTACGTCTTCCTTCCCTCACGTCTCAAGCGTCGCTCCTTTCGTCTAACATCGTATTTTATACGTCATCCAAGTCTTCTGAGATCCATGCTCCAACTTCAATTCTACTTGCTATAGAAATTTATTGATATCTGCAAGATATCAATGATTTTCATGTTCCTCCATTCTGATGAACACCGATTAAAAAAAATTTATAGGTAGTTTTACGATACGAAATTTCATGTTTAAAATTTGATAAAGTATCGGTTATAAAACAATTTCTCATATTTTAAGTTTAATTTGCTGGGTTGGCAACTAAGTGACTGAGAATTTTAAATAAGAAGAAAAATTCAAAATCCGCAATCATTGAGTTGCCAACCCAATATTTTATTAGAAGTATTAAATCCTATAACTTTTCGAAGTTGATTCATGGAAAAATCTACAAGTTTATTACGTGAATGCCTAAACGAAGATTTGACTAACAAAATAAATTCCCAACAAATGTTAAAACCGTTGTAAAAAAACTCATTTTTTTTCCTTACTCCCTCAAAAGCACAATGTGATATTGCACTTTATTACGTGACATACATTTTACTCATTACAAAACATTACTTCTGTATGGATAAAATATGTTTCCAATTGATCAGTGACTATTTTGAGTACAAATCTATAGTAGTAAAAATCTGAGGTAGTTCCGAACGTTAATCTCTAAATATAAGAAACATCGAAGATACCGTCAAAATTTGATCGCACTAAAAGTTAATTGCGCAAAACTTTAAATTAAACGGCGCAACGGACACATCTCTGTAATTGCATCGGCTATTTTCACATTAAATTTATTACAGTTTAAAAACATTTACGTATATCATCTTTTTCCAATAAATGAAAATAAAAGCTCTCCATGACGTGACTTGCCTCTGCCATTAAATGTCCAGTCGAGGTCATCGCCGACAATTTGTTGACTGATTATTTCGTTTTTCTAGTCACTTACACCCGATATCCGAGAGTTGGCTTTTATTGTAGATCAGAATTACGTTTTTGTTTATATTGTTATCATGCAGGAAAAGAACACATTTTAAGAGAAGTAATATTTACATTAGCATCGCTATTTATTCTTCTTTATCCTCAAGAATTGCTCAGCCTAATATATCTAATATTTACAACGATGCATACGTGCATGAGTTTTTCGTTTGCGCAAAATTTAATTTAGTTCAGGACATCGTTTGCACGTTTGAATTCTTACCAGGAGAGGATCACGTATGGTGGCTTCAGATTTTCACAATACTTTGTTATTTTATAATCGTCAACATATAAAACTATTTGCCAAAGGGATAGGAAAATTCCTCTCAGGAATTTTCAAGAAATAATCGTTTAAATATTTAATACATATCTTTAATGACATGGGTTAATATCAAGTTTAGAAACGGCTATAATCTAGAGGACAAGGCGGAGGATCTCGAATCGCAGGGGCGCTGGCTCGATCCCCGATCGATATATTTTTTTTATGTGTAA